TATATATATATATATATATATATATATACACACAGAATCATTCTAAATACATATACAAGCAGAGGCAGACCCTGTTTAACCAGGGAGTCTGAAATTGCTGCCTAGTCAGCCGTGGAAAGAAAAAGTGTCTTCATGTTATCCTTACCAGATTGATCAACCTTCTCATTGCATGTTCATGAGCACAAATGCATTCACAGGGATCAAATCCGCCTTCTGCCATGATTTATGTGGATAAGCCAGAACCTAATGGCAAACACCTAGAAAGGAACAAAAATAGAAGACAAATCAACAATCTTGTACCTCAGTTTATTTTGTCCACCAAATTTTAGTTCACTTACTGCAAGGGCTGGGAGGAGAAACAAACACAAAACAGGGTAATCTAATTATTCCTTTCAACAGAAACAATAAAAAAAAGCTAGCATGTTTGGTTACCTCTTGCTTGAAGTAGCATTTTGCAAGTCCTCCTGGAGAGGTCCAAGTAATTTTTTAGAAGAACTTGTTTATACTCTAGAGTTCACACACTGTTATGAAAGATATACTAATGATACCCTGTTATGAATAAATGCATAAAAACATGGTCTCTGATCTGCACACTAAGCTTCATTACGAGCACAGATTTCCCTTAAGCTTAAAACAGCATAACCAAGTTAGTCTTGTGTTCCCCTACCTCTTAAGGCTTTTGAATTCTCCCTCTAAGTCAACACAAGTAAAATAATATAAAACCCTGCAACTTCCTTACCACAGCAAGACACAATGGCCTTGTCTAATGGGAACAGGCAGTGCAACATAGAAAAAGGATGGATTGGAACTACTGTATAGAAGGAGTTGCTGACACTAATTTTAGATCAAAAGAAGTAGGTCACTCAGTAATACTAGAAAAAAGAAGAGAAAAAGTTAAAATAAATTATAATGGCACAAAACCTGGGAAATCCAATCTAGTTTATTCACCTGGCAAAACCAATTTTTCACTATACACTCCAGCAACTGAGGGCATTTTTATCTTTTATTAATATTTTCCTTGGTAGTTTAATCAATCGCAAAAATGGACAAGAGATTTCCCTAGTTTCCATTCTTATGGACTGGATTTCTGCCCCTACCCCTAAGACACATGGTATTAGATCAGTTCTGTGGAATGCTGCATTCAGAAGAAGATAACTGCTAACTTGATATCATCAAGGCTAGATTCAGCCTGAGTTTGTGTCAGCTATGCTTAATGCCCAAGCTGGAACAAAGTGCCTGGCTTGGAGACCATAGCAGCAGGAAGCGGCTGCAATTATCTCCACTTCCCAAAAAAGACAATGTTACATAGAAGGCGGGTAAGGGTGACTTGAAGCTGTACTGCTCAGCAATCTCCACCCATACAGTATCTATACACATGCTTCAGGGTGGAAAGAGGTGTGTTTTAAAGCAACTCTCAGGACCTGCTCTAACTAAAACACACCCGCAGTGTCTTGTGTATTCAGCGCCCTATGCTTCAAAATGGCAGCAGGGGCACTTTAACTAAAGCTCATTCCAATTAGAATGCTCCAGCTGACTTGATTAAGCAGACAGATTAATTGAGTCTGCTCTGACATGTTCTAATTAGAACGCATTGAAGCAAGCGTCCCACATGTACAGGCACCAATAAAGCCTAAGGGTTCTCCACACAAAGCTATGCTGCTTTACCCACATCAAGGGAGTCTAGAATAAATTCAAATGTGTATAAAACACCTGGACACTAGCTTATATTGTACATGCAGTTGTGCTGAACAAAACAATTTTGGTTAAAAAAAAAGTGATATCAATACTGTACAACATTCAAGTGCAGAGCAAGTATGAATGCTTTTAATTTACACGGTAGAAACCTTGCTCACCCTCTGTATTAATACCCTTAGGGAACAGAAAGCTCAGCTGTACAGTAAGTGACATTTACAGGTTTCTTCCTCAGTGAGTCTGCCTTTCAGTGGCCTCATCTGTTCTGATTTTCACATCTTAAAAAGGAAACTGAAAATTAGAAGGGGCACAGAAGAGAGCTACAAAAATGATTCAAGGACCGGACACAATGCTTTACAATAAGGCACCTGGAAAAGCCAATCTGCTTACCGTATTAAAAAGATGATTGACAGTTAACATGATTATAGCACATAAGTGTCTTTGGGTAGAGGAAATATTGGGTACTAAAAAGGTCGTTAATCTAGCAGACAAAACCAAAACTAGAACCAAAACCTAGAAGTTGATGCCAGACAAAACTTAAATTAGAATTTAAATTAGAAATACAGCACAATGCTTCCATTTTATTTTTTAAAGCTGTGAGGGTGATTAACCATTAGAAGAAGGTGGTGAGGAAAGAGAAGAATGTGCCATCTTTTGATCCATTCAAACAAAACCAAGTACTTTCTGGAAGTATGCCTTACCCAAACACTGATACTGGGCTCAGAACAGGAGTAACCAAGTGAAATGCAACATTTCCAGATACACACAGGAGGTTAAACTAGATTACCTAATGGCCCTTCTGACTGTAAACTCTAAAAACAGACATCAGTGAGTTTCTAAAATTCTCCCACAATTAGGAGTACCAGTAGATATCTAAAGAGATTTAGCTGAAAACATTTCAGTGATAAGGCATATAAATCAGGATATTATTTCTAGCCTATTATGTAAAACAGAGGTAAATATGGTTTTTCAGAATGGTGCTGAAGTGGCTTTCTGGTTAGAGCCGTAGGGCACGTCCAGACAAGTGCACATGTGGTTTGTGGTGTAGCAAACTGTATGTGCCACACATGCACACCTTCGCTATGCTGCTAATTTGCAGTGTAGTGGGATTTTTTGACACCAGCAGATCCTGGTGTCAAAAACCAAACAAAAAAAACCAACCAAACAAACAAAAAAAACTCAAAAAGAGTAGGATGCAGTATGTGGCATCAGTGTGCGCTGCCCAAAATTGGAGCCGGGTCAGCCAGAGCCACACTCCAGCTGCCAGGCAGGCACCATGCTCCTGGATCACTGCCACTGCTGCCCCGTGGCCCCCAGGACCCACAGGTACTAGGGCCCCAGCTCCCCCTATGCTACTCAGAGCATTTTCCCCCATGCTAACCCCACGTACGGGGCATGCACCAGGGCAAAAAGCAGTGGCACAAATTTGTGCCACTGCTTTTTTCCTTGCAGCAACTTCACACCCATTCTTGTGGGGACACAGCCCTATAGTCCCAGCATAAATACTTGCTTTAACATCTGACAGTTCACATTAGTAGCGACTTATGTCAATTCCTATTCTGACAGAAAGAATCAAAACAGTCTGTAAGTATCATACTGACGTATCTTATGTCGAGATATAAAAATCATGACAAATGAAGCTGAATTAGCATCTGTGGCGTAGTGCAGTCAATAAAAGACACTCCCAGATTAAACAGCAACAATGATAGAGGGACAAATTAATCCTTAATGTAATACCATTTAAATGAAGTCATATATTGGGGAACAATTTAAGATTTGTACGTGACCAAGAGGCTGTATCAAGTACATTTAAGAACAATTAAATAAGTCATTATTGTGCAAAAAAAATTTTTCTGAGAGCCAAGAGATTTTCTGTATGAATTACTAGGTTTTGGATTATGATGAAAAGAGAAGTTAGAAACATTCAACAGTTCATGCTGCATGATGATTTTTGTTGGTCGCATCATCCAATCAAATTTTTTTCCCCACTTTAACAGTTTAGTCAGCACTGTGTCTGCAAAACATTGGAAAATATGAAGCAATTAAACATTAGAATGCTTAGCTTATAATGGACTCGGATCAGATTTGAAAATAAGATACTAGTATTCTTGTCGTATAAGTCAGCAATATTCCTTGGCTCCAGCACATCCACTTAGGAAACACCTTGGTGTCAAAATCTTATTATGGAACTGGTTGATACATTTCCCCATCTACCTCCGGCTAATCAGAACTGCCTGATCTCACAGTCAATTCCTGCCCAATACATAACACTCTTCGCTACGGACATTGACAGAAGTGACGTTTTGGTGACACCACTGGCCTCCTAAAAGCACTGTACAGCTGTGCCTTGACAAAAGTGCCCAGCTGCAGAGCACTTTAGAAGCACACAATCATGTAACAAATTAAACCCTCATTACATGAGGGTTCAGATGAAGGCACTCCAAAGCACAGCACCTTCATTAATTTCTGTCAGCCCCTGCCTGGGAGCAGAGCTGGGCTGATGCAGCCCAGCCTCACCCACTGTGCTGTCTTCAGGATGGGGAGGGGAGGGGGGGAAAGAGAGGCGGGGGAGTTTGCCCAGCCTTCACTGGAGGCAGGGGTGGGTGGTTTGGAGCCCCCTGACATTTTTTCAGCACCTGAAAAAAGGAGTTATTTCAAAAGAAAGCCCCATTGCTCTGGGGCTGAGCATGGTTCCACCCTCACTGTGTTCCCTGAAGCACACAGCTCTCCCCTTCAGGAGATACTGGTAGAGCACTAGAAGTGATGATGATGCAAGTGTTGCCACACTCATATGTCAGAGGCATGAGGGGCCAGGAAGTCACAACAGGTAGAATAGTCAGTGTCAATAAGACTTTGGGCACCCAAAGGCAAGCCATGAAGGCATTCATAGATGATGTGGTCAGCTGTCTGAGCTTGAGCACCACAGCTACAACCAGCGACATGTATGCTCGCCTTAAACTGTCCAGCACCCATTCTGAAATGGTTAAGAGCAGTCCAAGCCCTATGGGGCAGCTGCCAAACTGAGGGGCAGAAGCTGGTGTTGGGGATGAAGCTCTTTTAGCCACCGTTCTTGTGCAGCCTATTGCCAGCTCCACTGATGGGAGGTCCACGCTGTGGGTGACATGCCATCTGCAGATTCAACAAGCTTATTGGCCTGAGTGAAAAACAGGGTCTGAAACTTCAGGTGGCAGTTGGTTGTCTCACTTGTAGCTAGCTACTAGGCTGGAGTGCAGAGAATGGCCTGGATCTTGGGATTCGAGGCCTAGAGCCAGGGTGGCAGGTTGCATCTGGATGCCAGGGGGTGGAATGCCTCACAGGACTGGTAAGCAGTCAACTGGAGTTGGCATAAGGAATCTAGTATTGGTCCTCATGATGCTGTTAAGGCTGGAGTCCAGAGCTGCCAGCTGGGCAAATCTCAATCTGTCATCTCAAAGTTTTATTTAATTATTGTGCAATATTCTGGTTGGTCTTTTTATTTTTGTAATGATTCTAAAGTTTATTTATTTTTATACAAGTTAAAATAATACTACAGAATACTGAACTTTCTACTTTGTATTAATAAGCCTAACACGTACATTTTCCTTTCTAAT